ATTAAATTGTTCAAATTTCCATGTACAGAAAGTCAACTATCAAGCTTAATATAATTAAATTAGTGTTCATTGTGGGCATCTGTTACGTTACAGAATGGGGCTTCATCTGTTAGTTTCTACCATGATGCAGAATTACTAGTGTTAGAACTAAGAATATTTCTATAGTAGTAGCTTCTAGATATGGTCATATAAGATATTTATGTTTAAAAACTGTATTTTTATACTTTTACTAAACAAATTAGAAGATTACTCAGTGTAAAAAATTCCCAATGAGCAAGTCTTTTATTTCTATCAGAAGCCTCTGAAGCCAGGGCCATACATGGCGAAGGATTACATGAAGCAGCAGCAGAATCATCTTCTCAAAGTGTACCTGAACCCAATCAAGATTTACTTACTGTTCATGGAGCAACGCAAGGAGAAAGTAGTGATGCTGTTAGCATTCATACTGCCAGTACTTCAGTTTCTGGCAATGGTGAACACACAATTCATACTATTTTTACAAATACAATACAAAATAAATATTGAAATTTATTGGTTTCATAGAATCAAGTTCTAGTAGAGTGAGTGCAATAACTGTGGTGTTACCTTGGGGTGCTCAAAAGGAAACAGTGAAACCACAACAAATAGGAGATATGGATCTACGCCCTGGAGAATTTGTAATGCGTACCTTATTTGCAGAATTCACTTCTCAAGCAGAGAAAAAAATGGAAGCAGTGATGACAGAACATGTAAGTTGCTTATTTATTTGATACCTAATTTATTTATTTAACATTTTTACTAGTCAATGTGTTATAGGAAAAGCCACTTTCAAAAGTTTTACAAAGGGGAGAGGATCCACAATTTGATCAGTTGTTATCTGCATTTGGTTCAGTTGCAGAACATTGTTTGCCTTCTATTTTACGAGCGCTCTTTAATTGGTACGAACGTCAATTAGTTGATCAAGGTAGTGACCAGAAGAAACCTGCTCCTGGTAAAGAAGATCAAAAAGGAAAAAGGTAAAATCAAGTTTTAAATTCGCCTTCTTATTATTACATTGAAAATTATGAAAATCTTAAAATAAATATTTTATTTTAGCATTATGTATACAATAGTGTCAGGAAGTGTAGAAACAGTTGAAAGAAGTGAAGCAGACTTACTTCAAGAACGAAGAGATCTTGCAGTAGAATTTATATTTTGTTTAATGTTAATAGAAGTTTTACGTCAATTACCGTTTCATCCTGGTCATGAAGATTTAGTAACTTACATAGAAAATATAGCTTTTAAGCATTTCAAATACAGAGAAGGGTAAGAAATGATGCAATAAAAATTGTATAAAATATTTAGTGTTTTATAGAAGAGTACAATTACATTGCAGTATTCAAAATGAACCAAATGCAGCAAACATTCATATTATTGCTGACCTTTATGCAGAAGTAATAGGAGTTCTTGCACAATCTCGATTTATGTCAGTTAGGAAACGTTTCATGATTGAATTGAAAGAATTACGTGCTAAAGAACCAGGACCTCATACTACACAGAGCATTATTTCATTACTGATGGGAATGAAATTCTTTAGAGTGAAGGTAATTAAAAAACAAATTATTTTATAACCGTTTTATCATAATTTATGTGTTTGTGTAACAACAAACAATAATTTATAGATGGTACCAATAGAAGAATTTGAAGCCTCATTTCAGTTTATGCAAGAATGTGCACAGTATTTTTTAGAAGTAAAAGATAAAGATGTCAAACATGCTTTGGCTGGCCTTTTCGTTGAAATACTTGTTCCTGTTGCCGCTGTAAGTTTATAATATTGTATTTATAAATGTTTTAACATGTATACTAAACATTCCTTTTTTCATATTTTAGGCTGTAAAAAATGAAGTTAATGTACCTTGTCTAAAAAATTTCGTCGAAATGTTATATTCTACAACATTAGATATGTGTACAAAGTCAAAGCATAGATTAGCTCTTTTCCCTCTCGTGACTTGTTTGTTATGTGTCAGTCAGAAAACATTTTTTTTGCAAAATTGGCATTATTTTTTAGCAATGTGTCTTTCACATTTGAAGAATCGAGACCCTAAAATGTGTCGTGTTGCTTTAGGTATGACTTTTTGTGTAAAAATAGTTATATATAAATAATAATACTTTTAACATTTTTTCCGCTTATTTTGCAGAGGCGCTATACCGCTTGCTTTGGGTATACATGATACGTATTAAATGTGAGAGTAATTCAGCTACTCAAAGTCGGTTACAGAGCATAGTAAATTCCTTGTTTCCAAAAGGTTCAAAGGCAGTAGTACCACGTGACACTCCTTTAAATATTTTTGTGAAAATTATTCAATTTATTGCTCAGGAAAGATTAGACTTTGCAATGCGAGAAATAGTATTTGATTTATTATCTGTGGGTCGACCAGTAAAAATAATTTTAACTCCTGAACGTATGAGTATTGGACTTCGAGCTTTTTTAGTTGTAGCTGATAGTTTGCAACAGAAAGAAGGAGAACCTCCTATGCCCCGTACAATGGGTGTATTGCCAAGTGGTAATACTATGCGTGTTAAAAAGACATTTCTTAACAAAGTAAGTATCATAAATAGTTTTGTATATAGTTTTATTAATTGACAAATATTGCCGATAAAAAATTTGATTTTATAAAATTTAGATGTTAACAGAGGATACTGCAAGGAGTATAGGAATGTCTTCGTATTTTCCACATGTCCGACGAGTATTTGTCGATATATTGCGTGCTTTAGATGTTCACTATGGTAGACCACTGATGATGACAAGTACTCAAAATATGAATAAAGAACCAGACGAAATGATTACTGGTGAACGGAAACCCAGAATAGATCTTTTCCGTACATGTGTTGCTGCAGTTCCTCGTTTAATACCCGATGGAATGACGGGTGCTGAATTAGTAGACTTGTTGTCCCGTTTAACTGTTCACATGGACGAAGAACTTCGTGGCTTAGCATATCAAAGTCTACAAACTTTGGTATTAGACTTCCCTGATTGGAGACAAGATGTTGTTCTTGGATTTACACAATTTCTTGCTAGAGATGTTCAGGATACTTTCCCGCAACTAGTTGATAATGGTTTGAGAATGCTTCTACAACTTCTTACAAGCTGGAAAAATGCATTAGCGAGTCCTAGCATAAGATCGAAAGAACAGTCAGTAGATACTGCAAGAACAAATGCACGTACAGACGGTAGCATTAAAAAAAGTGAATCCGGACAAAAGATAGAACCTGTTTCAAGCGTTTTTCATTTAGTAGAAGGATTTGCATTGGTCATGCTTTGCAATTGTCGACTTTATCCTAGAAGAATAGCTGTTCACATACTGCGTGAAGTTAAACACTTATTAAAAACACTTGGTAAGTTTAATTATACTAGGATATACATTAGTATAAAAATGTTAATAAATACTTATTTTTTTTTAGGAGGCTTAGAAGACGATCAACCTGTAATTGATGTAGTAGATGCTTGTTGCCCGGTAGTTTTAGAGAAATGTTATCACATGTTGCCACCTGCTGAAAAAGCAGCAGCAGCTTCTACTTCCAACGTTGATCTTCAGTGGATAGCTGAAAGAAGTAGTTGTGTATGGACAGCAGGTGATGACAAAATATTTTTTACACAATCATTTAAGTCTTATATTTATCAGATTAGTATAATTATTTAATACACAAAATATTTTGCAGGTCTTCATGATGATACTAGTACAAAGAGTTCTTCTTCTCTAAATCTAAATGGAGCAGATCCATGGGGCAGTTGTCTGTTTGCATTTTTAGAGAAGGATAGAGTACTTACACTGTGCCCTACTGCTGTCGCACATTCGTGGCCTATAGTTTTTACTCGAATAAATTCACTCTTTTCAGTGATCGATCCTACGTAAGACTGTATTAAATTTTTTTTAAATAATACGTATGTTTATAATTGCTCAAAAATAAAAGTTCTTACCCTCGTTTTCTATAGCCCTGTGAATGACAATAGAGCCTCTCTATTAAGAAGTTCAACTGCAGTTCGAAAACCTGTAAATGAAAGAGACATGTATATGCATGTGTGGAAGAATTACTTAACTTTTGGGTACAGAGTTGTTCCACCAGTTCCAAGTCCTGTTGTACGATGTGCGAGTCCAGATCTTAGTCTCAGGTAAGTTAATAATAAAAATCACTGCAGGGACATCAGGATCATATCATATCATTTTACAATATTATTTTAATGACATCGAAATCATTCTGTTAGAACACGAAAGATCAATATACTGTTCGGTGGTGTGTTAGTTACATAGTTCTGAATTTACGTTGTTTGTATAAATCAATGTTAGATTTAAGGTCACATAGATGGTGGAGTTTATAGTTCAATCATTAGAGCTTTAGGCGTATACATATATATATATATAAAAAAAAAAAATCAATTATCAGGTGGAATTAATATTATTTGGTATTAATTGGTGTGGGGTCGTGTCTGCTTATGTCTGTTGTGTACCACGGAAACATTTTATGGATACTGGTGTTTATTTGTCTCGAACGATTCCAATAAAAATTCCAATAGCACTTTGTGAATCATAATAACTTTTGATTATGACATGCATTCTCTGTTGTGGCACGCACGTGGCATTTGTATTTCTAACGACTGATACATTGCAAGAATGTCTAATCTCACATGAATTATGCACATCACCTCCAGGAATCTGTTGTTATACCAGTAACAACAAGGTGTTTTCACACGAAATAGAGGAGCACCAATTTGTACCAAGACGCGCTTTGCACTCGGGAGCGGGGTTCAAGTTCGCACATATATTCTTAAGCGCACATTTCTACGCTTTATTTTTCTGTAACATTCTTTACCTCGCATGCTACTCGTCACTGTCTCGCACATGTACATCTGGACCTTAGAGTAGTAGTTTCTGAGCAGTAAATAATGTTTGATACAAGGAGCATTGGTGGTACACTGTATTGCATACTCTAGTGGTCAGCATACGGTGGAGTTTGGTGTGTTGTGCATGAGTAAGGAGTTGAGTCAGAGCCTGGAGAATCTCGGCGGGGCACAGACCCTGCCGGGTCGCTTCTCCGTTCCGTCCATTTCCGGCATCTACACCAGGCATAAGCGGACCAGGTGAGCCTAATTAACCATTGCGAACGACCATGCTTCGAAGTCACCCGGGATTAAACGGTCGTTGGTAATTTGCACTTATCTTCTTACGAAAACTTTTTCTTTATTTGCAAGTCATTTTTAGCTATCTGATCAAGCCGCTGCCTAACACGAATTTGTACATGTATTTTTATTTATTGCCTAGCCTTACGACCGTTCCCGATCGCTTTAATCGGAAATTATATTTAACGATCGCGCACGATTTATATGTGTCTGTAATGTATCAACTTTCAGAGAGAATGCAAAATATGAAAAATTTCAATTTCCTCGCAGCTCGTCGCCGGATAGTCTGTCTGCTGAACGAGGCGATAACAAATCACCTGGTACAAATGCAAGTCCCGCAGCATTGTACAAATTAACAGTACCTCTATTGAGATGCGAGGTAGTAGATGTTAGAGATGCTGCTGTGCAAGCGATTGGAAAAGTAAACGCCGATGCGTTGAAGTAAGTAAATTATAGGTTTATTTAGCGTGGAATATTACTAACGGTGATTATTATCTTTAGGGATTTAATGGAGGAATTAGTTCCGTATATTCGCGAGGCAGTTGATCGGAAACAGGAAAATATGAGACGTAGAAGGCGAAGAGATGCATTGAGATTGCAACTAGTAAGGGTATTAGAATTGATTGCTGAGTATGGAACATTTGGTATCTGGTTAGTGACGAATTTAATATATTTCTTCAACATTATTTTATACAAGTTATTAAAATAATTATGTTCATATGTTTTTATAGTCCTGCAGTATTAGATCGAGAAACACAATCGCTTCATCCAACGTTTGTCGAGTATATCGATGGTGCTCGTTTGTATCTAGAAAATGAAACTGATAAAGAAGCCCCTGCAGTTCGTGACATTAAATTACATTTCTGTAATTTCATCAGAAAAATGATCAAGAGTTTTTCACGTAAGTATTTTGTATACGGAGAAAACACGTGTGATGATAACATGTTTAAATAATTCATATATTTGCATTTCAGTGGAAACATGTCATACGTTACTTAAAAGGGATTTGAGACGGAACTTGTTCATGTTGTTCGCTAGTTGGGCAGGTCCTTATGGACGACCGCTTGCAACTACATCTTCATTACAGGAAGAAGAAAAATCTTGTACAGAATTACAGCTCTCAGCGTTGCAAGCTATGAGCGGTCTATTATGTTGCGGGCCTTGTTTTAATCCTCAATCACTTTCAGAAGAAGGAGCGATACTATACCAATGGTTAGATCTACTATTAGCCAGCAAGGATGAAAAAGTAAATTTCAGATTATTCACGATTCACGTTTAATATAGATTTTTTAAGGGATTGTCATTTTTACATGTTCAACACAAATTTTCAGATTTATGCCCTCGCTCGAGAAACAGTAGTTTTATTGTTGGAGTGTAACCCCGATATTGGCACCCTTCTCGAATGGGTAGTCGACCGATGTTATACTGGAGCTCCACAAGTAGCTGATGGTTGCTTCCTTGCCTTGGCAACAATTTTTAGCGCAAGGTTAGTAAAGTACTTGCACATTCGTATACATAAATACGTTAAATTACGAAAAGTTTATTTTTAACCGTGATATCAAATTATCAGATAGTACAAAAAGATTCGATCACTCCTCGTTACATAAATATGATACAAAGTGTTTTTAACGTTCTTTTGCAGAGAATATCCTTGTGATCATTATACAAGTATCATAAACGTTACCCTAATGAGTACGGGTTGTCCCCGTGCCCCCGTTCACGACGCAGCACTTCAACTTCTCCAGTTGTTGGATCAAAGGTTTTTCGGGAACGTGGGTCCACTTCCAGCTACAGAACCGGAGACCAGTAAGTTTATAAGATTTGCCCGCTCACTTCGCCCTTCGAACAAGAAATTAATACTACATTTGTATAAGAATCCTTATGTAGTAATATCTTGAAAAATACAATTTTAGTGATATTGATCATATTACGTCTTAAATAGATGTTACATTCTTTACTCTAACATTTAGCTCATGAAATTCTTCCCATGGCTCAGTAAATACAATTGCATGACGACGTGTCGTTCCCGAAGTAGGCCGTGTGAAGCTCGAAACTGAGGATAAATATAATTTTCTTAAATCGATTACTGCTATCCACAAAAACAACAACTACCAAAGTTAACTTTATCCTACCGGTTTCATGTGTACTCACCATTTTGTGTTCCTTGATTCGACACTTGTGTTACAGTCACATTTTTCCGGTGAAATCGTTTCAAGAACATAGATCGTATCGCTCTCCGAAAATTCTGTCCCGTTGCGCAATATAGGATAAAATTAATCCCAAAGTTTGTATTGAACAACAAGTTACAAACTTGTTGCGCCATCTCGACCGATCGAGGTGCATTATTATCCTCCTGAAACTATGTTTTTTTACATCGAATATTTACGAAGAGATCGCACATAACGCAAGAAACATGAAATATCCCATATTTTATCTATCTATTCAACACACGTACATGTAAAAAGGCGTGAATCCTCAGAACGTAAGCAGGCAGATTGAAGCAGAGGAATGCGCTGGAGACGACGAGCAGCATCTTGGTGATCTTCGTTTGCGCCAAATTGTTCCGGAAGTTTTGCACGCACGGCTGTCTCTCTTTCACGATGCGCGGTTCGTTGGTCAGAGATTTTCTAATTTTGATATGTCTATAGATAGCCCGTGCAATCAGCACGTTCAGGATAATGATCACCGTGAATGGTATCGCGAAAGTTAGTACCGTGTCGATCACATTGTAAACGATCGCCCAAGATTCCAGTCCCTCCGCCAAATGGCACTCGGTCACGTTTCCCTTTTCGTTATGTTGTAACCGCGGTGCAGAAAACCATAAAACCGGACTGCACAGAATAACACCCAATACGGTCAATATAGCGACCGTTAGTTTTGCCCTGGCGACGGTACACATCGACTGCCGATAGAGTGGATATTGCACAGCTATAAACCTCTCAATGGTGAACGCAACTACGAGCCAAACGCTCATGAAGCTGCAAAGTGTAGTTAGGTAGATGAAAAATTGGCAGAAACCTGGTCGATTGAACAAGCCAACTTCGACCATGTTCAACCAGACAACGAAAACCGATATCAAGAAACCTGTGTCGCTTATAGCTAATGCACCGAGATAAATACTCGACGAGTATTGACAGAGTTTCGTTCCAAAGAACACGATCACCGAGAGACAATTTCCCAGTGAACCGAAGTAGACGAGCATGGGGGTGTAATATAATTGGACGCTACGTAATACGTTTTCTGTTAGGTCGAGCTCCACTAGGTCTCTTTGTGCGTGGACCATTTTCGCGCGATGATTTCAGACAAGGAGGGTCATCGATTTTGATCGGCGCGGCGGCAGGATGCGTTCGCGGTTCACGCGTCACGTTCGACAAATATTTTTACGTTTTCGTTTTTCATCAACTGACATCCCACAGATGCGAATACATTTTCAAACGATTTATATCTTCCACGTGCAGCATATTAAACCTGCTATTTTTCAATTTGTAGAAAACCTTCGAAGCGATGTGAAACAAAAACGATGTGTATTTTGTGATATTCTAAGATATAGAATAATCTGACGATAATTGTCGAGAAATATCACTTGAGAGAAAATCATCGAACTTTTTAAAAATGTATTCTTCGTAAATTGAAATTGTACTTCTTGTTGTTCGTTTGTACTTTATCATTATCGCGACGAACGATACTTTTCATTCGTTTGTATCGATATGTCTTTTTATTTTAAATTCGTCCTTTGTGTTTTATTAGATTTCTTTCAATTTGCATTCAGTGTACGCGGTCGAATTGTTTTCGGTCTCTTCGTGCAATCTATCGAATTCCATCAACCGCGAACAGAAGCGGACGAAGTTTGTTTAACGTTCTATGAAAAACTGTGCTGGAGTGTTGCCAAACTCTCTTGACGTCTTCAAAGGTTGATGAAGAAGTCCATCTTTTATTACAGACCCTCGAAGCTTATAATCTCACTCGCGCAAAATTCAGTATAATCTCGAGTTAGAATATTCCGCGAAACTTTCGATCACCGCCGCACTCGACGAGCATTTAATCTGCAATTTAATCCCAAACTTTACTCGTAATTTGTTAATTCATTTATCTCCTGTTAATTATATATTCGTATTAATTTCAAACGAACACGATTTACTATAATTTCATTTTACAATATTAAACGAAGAAACTTCTTTTTTTTTTTAAACAATCTTTTACTTCAATTATTTCAACACTTTTTTCTGCCACAATTCTACGGTGAAAGTCATCCACGCAGTTCACTTGTTCATGATGTCAGTTCCAAGTTATATTAACTCTCGAACAAAAGTTATGAATAGAAATACGAAAAATGAGAAGTTTTTCTTAAATTTTTATTATCCTCTTTCTGCGTATTTTTTTATTATTCTTGCTGTTTCAAACGCAAAGTTAAGTAGTATACATCGGGATGCCGGCTCGACTATTTCTGCATGGTGCATCGGCAACCGTTCCTGATAAAGTCCAATGCATCTAGCTTCTGCGCACCAAGCCGATATACATACGAATTCTCGCCGGTTACGTGAAACCCGTCGACAAAAAAATGATAAGCTTTTTATTTATCGTCGAATTGCGATGTGTAATGCACAATGTCACGCGGCGATTAAGCGGTTCTATCACTTCGAATAATCGTTTTAAAAAAAATGTCACTCTATCCGCGCACGCACATTTTATTCAGACGGTACTCGGGAAACGTACTTGTCCTCGGTTTCTGCAATTTCATTCCGATTCTCAGAATCGACCGATTTTTCCAAACAAAAATCTATTTTTATTTAATATCCGAAATTTAATATAGAACAAAAGCCGCGATGTTTTCCAATAAAATTTCCGCGAAGAAGAGATATTTCGCATAACGGAGTACTCTTTTTTTTTTCTTTTTTCTATTTTTCTTGTTATTTAATCCGAATTTAAAACTAGCTCGTTCGATCGATTCTTTCAAAAGTGTCTCACAATTGAATTAGCGGTTCATTTTGTTGAAATACCACGATAATAACGTGGTATATCGAACATCCATTATACTCAGCCGTTTCCTCGAATACGCCGGAGCTGTTACATAGTTACCGTTTAAATTACTTTCAGAGTTATATTGGCGCGAAGCACAGTCTGTAATAATTCCATCGGTTCTTGTTTTAGGTCAGGATGACCCTGTTGGCGGTTCATCAACCACGGCTACTTCTGCACCGGGGCAACAAAGTAATCCTATCGGCGGAATGTCCTCGAGTGGTACAATTAGGGGTGGCACCCTTGACGTACTTTTATCGACCACGTATTGTCGCAATCAAATGTATCTTTCTCGTCAGCTCGCTCAGTTGCATCCGGAGTTAACGATGCCTATGTTCAGCGGTAAGTTTCCTTTGCGTTGCAACGAAAATGTTTTCTTTTCTTCAACCTAAAGGTTCAAGAGCCTTTTTCAGCAATAAAAAGTACCCTTTTTTACCATTCGGTGTTATTGGTTCGTTCCAATTAATTTTTGTCAGCCCTTTATGTACGTGGGTTGTAAATATCGAATAGGAAACGATTATCGTGGAGTAAGTAGCTTAGAAATATTGAAGGAAAATAATTTAGTAACTTCGTAAGAGATAATCGGTCAAATTATATTCATTTTCTTCATTACTGGAAAAATGTATGAAAGAAAAAGGAACGATGTTTCGTTGGATTAATGTATGTGGTAGTACGTCTTCATTTATTGTAATTTATATCGTCCATCCTTCGTTAGATGTATATTAATCTCCGCAGGAGAAGTTCGTGGATGATGAATCCATGTGATATTAATTTTTTGCAATCTCGAATGATGCACAACCCTCTTATAATTTTACCGGTGAAAATTTTCAACTCTCATTAGCTACTTTCCTTCGAAGAATTTTTTTTTCATTAGTGAAACGTAATAAAATGCGAATAAAAAAATGACGTAAATATTTTCTCATTTATTTTTTTATTTATTTTGAATTATTTAAAAAAATTCTTTTCGTTATTCGAATTATGTTTCTCAATTACGATAACTGGTAAAAATATTGGAATAACGAATACTGTTGATAAAATTATACAGTCGTTTGTTCGTTTCCATTTTACAATGTTTATCGTGTACAGCATTGTAGGCGGACTTACATTAGACAGCTCAAACCTTTTGCTAGCAGTCAGCTAGAAATAATTCATCCATTTATAACTCAGCCTAATACCTCTTTCTCCAGTTTACTTTCTATATTTGCATTGAAAATATACTTTGTCGCACCAATTTCAAGCACCGTTTCCAATGTACAGTGATAAATGGTATTATTGAATAGAACTCGAACGACACCCTACACGTATTAAATACAAGCTCCTTTGTTTGATAACTATCTTGATACTTGTTAATTGAAAATCAAGTACAGAGCTTCACTATCCGTTACATCATTTTACAATACACTTGCTAAGTGATGTAGCAACGTAGCTTACAAATATGATAAAAATTGTCAACATCGATGTTATTATTGAACATCGTTAAATTAATTAAGATAACACTTTTATCAATCAATTAACAGCAAGCAAGTGTTGAACATTTCGATCAATTCAATGATAAAAATATGCAAAGTCAGTAATCTGTTTTAAAGGTAGCGATGAAAGTGACCTAAATACCGCATTGCGAGGCCGTAGTAAATCAACCGATACCTTACCGTAGGAAGCAATCAACAAAGAAACGATACTAATACATTTCTGTATCGTGTATCATTTTCAGAAATTACACACAGATTTCAAACGGCTAGAAGGGAGGTTCGGCAATTATTGCTTCAATATTTGCTGCCCTGGTTGCACAACATGGAATTGGTGGATCCAAATGTACCACCACCCTCCAATCCGTTGAGTTATTACCAAGTAGGTGTACAGATCGTTTATTAAAAATCAGAAAATAATCCCACCTCCGTTTGCAATTGGTATTAAAATTAATTTTTTTTTAATAACAATATTGATAGTTCACAGATGTAAAATGGTATCAATATCGGAAAGAATACCGTAGGGATGTAAACTGTTATATATGTAGAATAGGAAAAAATAATTTTTATTTAATTGTTTAAAAAAAAAATATTTGGAGGCGCCGGGCATCGATCCCGGTACCTCTCGCATGCTAAGCGAGCGCTCTACCATCTGAGCTACGCCCCCTTCGATCTGATTTATCTCAAGTACCATTCTAGAGCAGCAATCTGATCCAGTTTTAGTGAAAGGATCAAAAAGAAAAATATTTTGGAGGCGCCGGGCATCGATCCCGGTACCTCTCGCATGCTAAGCGAGCGCTCTACCATCTGAGCTACGCCCCCCTTTAATTGACACTCTTTGAAAGATCGTTTTCAACGTGAAAACGAGGGATCTCTAGATGAAGATTCATAATTCAGTAGTACAGCTTAGGAGATGTCAGACGCTAGTTCTAAGAACTCGTCTGACTGCTCTAGTGCCTCTTTCGTACTACTTGGATGATACTTAGGTACCATTTGCAGCTTCTTTAGCTCGTGTTTTACAATGCATATGCAACGTATCGACAATTTAAACAATTTATGAATTATTTAAATGCAATTTATATTAAACATATTTCATGTACCATTCGTGTTATTCTACTAGCTGCTAGAATTTTTTCTAACACGTTTTCAAACTGGGGATTGATGTTACTCTTTGAGAAGGATAGACTTTGTTAAATAAATAAAATAGTCACGATGATTGTTAAAATTCTTTAATAATGACACGATTGATAAAAAAATGCTTCAACTTCGTTGTTAACAAATCTTTTTAGAAACATAGGAGAAATGAAAAAAAAAATTTCATAGAATATGCAAAAAAAACCTATTGGAGGCGCCGGGCATCGATCCCGGTACCTCTCGCATGCTAAGCGAGCGCTCTACCATCTGAGCTACGCCCCCTTCGATTTGGTTTACTTGAAATGTCATTCTTAAGATGCAATGTGATCTAGTTTTAGTCAAAGGATTGAAAAACAATTTTTCGAGACGCCGGGCATCGATCCCGGTACCTCTCGCATGCTAAGCGAGCGTTCTACCATCTGAGTTACGCCCCCTTCGATTTGGTTCACTTGAAATGTCATTTTTACAGTGCAATGTGATCTAGTTTTAGTCAAAAGATTAAAAAAAAATTTTTTGGAGGCGCCGGGCATCGATCCCGGTACCTCTCGCATGCTAAGCGAGCGCTCTACCATCTGAGCTACGCCCCCTTCGATTTGGTTCACTTGAAATGTCATTCTTAAGGTGCAATGTGATCTAGCTTTAGTGAAAGGATTAAAAAGAAAATTTTTGGAGGCGCCGGGCATCGATCCCGGTACCTCTCGCATGCTAAGCGAGCGCTCTACCATCTGAGCTACGCCCCCTTCGGTATTGCATACGTCATTTTGTTATTGCAATATAATCCATTTTTGGCTAAAGGACCAAAAGAATGAATCCTGGAGGCGCCAGGTATCGATCCTGGGACCTCTCGCATGCTAAGCGAACGCTCTACCATCTGAGCTACGCCCCCTGTGGTTTCTTTTGTCTTAAGGGTTGTATTTATTTCCAATTTTTTTACTCTTTTTTTTTTTAATAGACTTTTTATATCAATTTTGATTAAAAATGATATTTTGTTAACAATTTTCTTGTGTAAATTTCTTGAATACACTAACATTTCGTTTAAATCATCCCCTGTTATACTTGTCGACAAATATTTTGAAATTTATTATAAAATATTTGTTTGATCAGTATTATGCTACTGATATGTCGCGCGGTGGAGCACGCAGAGAGGGTTGGGGCAGTGCCGAAGCAACGGAAATGGTGTTGAATAACTTGTTTTACATAACTGCCAAGGTACCGTGTACAACATATCGCTGCATAGCACTGATAGTGGCATAATTGAAAAAAATAAAAATCGACATTTTTTGAATTATTTAAAAAATTTTTTAAATTATATTACTATCAATGCCAAGCAACGATGTAACGTGGTTACCTGTAACAGTATAGTAACAGGAATTTCATTATACAGTTCTCTGATGAACATCCTAAAGAGACGGAAGAACTTTGGGCAACTTTATGTGGCTGTTGGCCCAACAATCTAAAAGTTATCATTCGTTATTTAATTATCGTCTCGGGAATGGCACCGCAAGAACTCTTGCCATATGTACGTAATTGTTGGATCAGAAAATTTCATCAGAAAATTCATCGTTTTTGTTGATATCATTAAATCATTGATTATATATTTTAGGCAAAACGCGTTGTATTGTACCTAGCAAGAGCTCGACCAGATCGTTTAGTGGACGAGATGATGACTGAATTACAGACAGTCGAAACTTTGAACTGTTTGATCGAAAGAACCGAAACTCCTCCATTCTATAGATTGACTAGCATGAGGAAAGCTTCCTCTCACAGCGATGCTCCTGTTGCCGATCCTGGTAATCCACCGCGCGATTTGGGAGTCGAAAAAGGTACCATTCATACCAAAAGACACTCGGGCGAGGATCCTGTTAAAACCGGGTATGACTTTTACTAATTAATATCGATATTCTAAATTTTCACGATTTTTAACTGTTCTTTTTAGAAAAATTTAACACTTATTTGATTTATAAATATTTTTATATTTTTTATTCCTAGTTCTAAATCTGATACCGCATTACGGGCGCTCGCTGGATTTCAAACCCCAAGGGCGGAAAAAACAAGGACTGCGAGCGGTCCGCCAGTTCTTCCGGATGATTTGTCCACTCCTACGACAGAAGCCGAGGTTCATTGATTGATTTATTGACTTTATAAACTTCACGCGACATCCCTTTACCCCCTATTTCGCGCCTGATTTCAGTTGACTACCGACGAATCTTGTTATGGTACACGGAACGGACCTGCTGGAGTAAATGGAAAGATTTCATGTGGTGGAGAAAAGTTTGATATTCCTCAGCCACATCCTCTACCGATGCCCGAGTACGGCGGATACTTTGCGCCTTTAACAGAGTATCTACCAGATAGTTCACAACCTATAAGTGGATTCCATAGGTGGGAGACCTTGTTGTATATAACATGTACCATCCGTCTTGGACGTTTAAAAAATTGTTATTACTGTTACAATTATTATTGTAATTTTCAGATGCAACATTGCCGTTATGCTGCTCACTGATGTTATCGTTGATGGCATACAACTTGACTGGGCTATTCATGTTCCTTTAATGTTGCATATAGTTTTCCTTGGCTTGGATCATTCAAGACCTCTCGTAAGGGATCACTGTCGTTGTCTTTTGTTAAATCTATTGGTCGTCCTCGGAGATCATCGCGATCATCTCGGCGTAGCGCGGGTATTGTTGGCATCGAAAACTGAACAATTGGGCTTAGGTCTTTCTACGCCAGCTTTGCCGGTACTCGAGCACAACTTCACCGAAGTTGATCCAGAGTTTGACAGTTATCTGTACGGTCCACCACCAGCACCACCTCCTACAACGCCTCCTCCATCATCTTCGCCACCACCACCCTCTTCTTCTCCCCCTCCTCCACCCCCACCTCCACCGCCGCCACCACCACCACCTCCGCCACCTGAATCCTCTACGTTCAATTCAGCTCCTCCGCCACCACCACCTCCTCCTCCTCCACCGCCACTTCCACCTTCTAACAGTGGAACACCTACCCATTCGCCTATTCCTAATTCGACATCTACTCCTCCCTTATCAATGAATCACGTAAATCAATCAGTCATGGACAATTGTAAGGATTATTCGAATTCTCATGGATATGGTGAGAAATTAACATTTCTTTGAGTTTATGTATTGTTAGTTATGCAAGTAATTAAGAGAACAATGTTAATGCTATAGAGTCATCTGTGTGCAACAATTGGTCTGCAACATCAGGATCAACAAGCACTGTGCCACCTGTTATTGTTACACCAGAAGATGCAAATAACTGGGTTGGTCCACAACCAGGCCCAAACATGCCAATCCAAGATGTGATCAAATCTTTGATCAATTTCTTAGCATCTAGGTATGTTTATATTTGTGTCAATACCTTTTCAAAATTTATAAATGCAATTTTTTTAATAGGATAAATCAACCCTTGTGGAATTACGAGGACATGACTGCTAAAGTGTGGTGGGTTCGCAGTGCTGAACAACTGACAGTATTATTGCGACACGTATTGCGGGTTTTTAGAGATTCTTTGCCCCACGCACTAGTTAGTCAACGATGGGCGCAAACCGCGTTGCAATTAGGTCTATCCTGTTCATCTAGACACTATGCAGGGAGATCTCTTCAAGTATTCAGAGCATTACGAGTTCCTATTACTTCTCGAATGTTATCTGATATTTTGTCTAGATTGGTAGAAACAGTCGCTGAACAAGGAGAAGATATGCAGGTAATAATGTTATTTTTTTAAATATTTTTACAGTAATTAATTATGTTATTTTATATATTTTACAGGGCTATGTGACAGAATTGTTACTAACTCTTGAAGCTGCTGTCGACTCGTTAGAATCTGATTTCCGACCTCTAGATTTTATGAAGGAAATATTTAAATCAACGCCAAATTTGAATAATAAAGATCCAGCTTCGGGTGGTTTGATTGGTGGCAAACGAAGTCCAGGAGGAGGCAATGGATATCCAGCTGGTCCACATATATTTTCTCATTTAAATCAAGGCGGTCATACAAGAAGTACCAGCTACTCGGTTAGTTATTGTATGAAAAAATCAAGTGGCGGAAATTCAGCAGCAAGTGAAATAAAAGGTTTGTATCATTTGTACACTTTAATAACGATTTATAAGTAAACTATGATGCATAATGTATTTCTAATATTTTTTATAGAATTAGATAACAGGTGCAACAAATATCCCAATTCTAATCTTTCACGATCGAGATCAGCTCAATCTTTGAAATTATTGGGCGATTCAGCGACACAGGACGATAAAATGACTATTTTAGCACAATTGTTTTGGTTATCGGTATCCTTGCTCGAATCAGACTATGAGCATGAATTTCTTTTGGCACTGAGATTGCTTAGTCGTGTATTACATAGATTACCCTTAGATCGACCAGATGCTAGAGATAAAGTTGAAAAATTGCAGCAGCAATTAAGATGGAATTCATTTCCTGGTGTACATGCATTATTATTGAAAGGATGCACTAGTCCAAACACATATGAACCCGTCGTAACATTATTATCTCAATTCACTCCGCTATTGGATCTACCTGTCGTTGATCCTACTCAAAGTCTTGCGTTTCCAATGAACGTTGTATCATTACTTCCCTATATGCTTCTGAATTATGAAGACGCTAATGAATTGTGCATCAGGAGCGCAGAAAACATTGCACAGGTAGCTAACATACATATATAATAGGAACTTCACATCTCCTATTGTGAATAATAAATGTATAATATATTTTTATTTATAGGTGAGTGCTGAAAAAGGAAAGAAATTGGAAAACTTGGGTACCGTGATGACATTATATAGCCGGCGTACCTTCAGCAAAGAAAGCTTTCAATGGACTAAATGTGTCGTCAAATATCTGTATGACACATATGCTCACCTCAGTTTCAATATGCTTGCTTTCCTGGTAGAAGTACTGGAGAAAGGTCCAGGAAGTGTCGCGTTACCTGTGCTTAGTATTATACACTGTATGTTACATTACGTTGATTTAGCTTCGCAAGCTGCGCAACCAATTAACACGGAACTACTCAGAGTGATTTCAAAATACGTTGAGGTATGATGAAAAGCCTATTTTAGTAGTAGACAAGCTATAATATTTTTGCTAGCTTATTTTTACTATAATGTAATGCTAGGGTCCCCATTGGAAAGAAGCCCTTAAAATATTAAAACTGGTAGTCACAAGATCGTCAACTTTAGTAGCACCACCTACATCAGTGCACGGTTCATCTTGGGAATCTTCAATAGCATCTCCACATCCAAGTTTCACCGATACCGAGATATTTACCAAAAAAGAATTACCCGGTAAAATAATACACCTTAAGATATAATTTGCATGGAAGTGAACGTTGAAAATTATTAAGTTTTGTTTTTCCTCTTACAATGCGGAACACGCTCACTGCATGGATTGCTTATCTGATGATGCTCAGGTTGCGATAAAAATAATAATAGAAATAGGCTGTAAATTGTTCACGAAATATAGTTACTATTTTTTTAAACAAAATTTCTTACAATCATGTAGTTCCCTTGAAATGAACCCAAATTTTTCGAATTTTTTAAAATTTGTATTGTTTTATACTTTAAATGCATTACCTCTTTTCAACTTTCGAATATGTAATTTTAAAGGAAGGTAAAACAAGTGCTTGTTAAAATGTATTACTAACTTGTTAAGTGTTGCTAATCTTTATATTAAAAGTTTGTCAAATTTAATTGTTACGTTTCATTTATGAATAGGGAGAACTATGGATTTCACATTCGACTTATCACAAACCCCGGTAATCGGTAGACGATGGTTAATACGCCAAGGCGTTGAAGAAAAGTCGCTTAGTTCTCCTCGGTGTTCGTTATCTCTTTCACCAGCTGATAGTAATGCGGTTTCTGGTTGGAAAAGACCATGGATGTCACAGGTAAATTAAAAAATATTGAATAATATAAAATATATAAATATGGAATATTTTTAAAATTTGTGTTTCAGGGTCGTGTTAGAGAATGCCTGGTAAATCTTCTAACAACATGTGGTCAACGTGTTGGATTACCAAAGAGTCCATCTGTAAGTTTTTATTTAAACTGGAAATTTTTTTTAAAATTTGTGTGTGTTACATATTTCACTTGAATAGCTTTCTAACAAGAGCCGTATCTTTGAACTGACTCTGGTTATGTACATCTTTTTAGGATGAACACATTAGTTCAATGACATTATATAGCAAGGTAACAGGTTTCTTTAAAAAGCAGTCTGCACTCATTATCACAAGAGTAAAGAAAACATTTGTTTATACTCATATGTGATGTCCAATCGATACAACTATATTCACGCTTTCATACGCTTTGTACAAATGACTTGACTTGCACAAAATTTTGAAAACAGAAGGAAAGTTATTCTCATTTTCGTAGGACTATTAATGCGCAGTAGATTTTTGTGTAGCATGTTAATCGTATAAAAAACGGCGTATCAAAATACAATGTACGCGTGCATCGTTGTAATTATTATATTACCGCTATGTCAGTTGTTGAAACGGGACATACGTACGACAATTCGGTATTAAACACGTAAATGCACAATAATCGCTAAAGTTCACAGCATTATCACATAGTAAAGAGAAAAATTGAAATGTTGTGTCAGTTAAGGATCCTGTTGCTGTTTCTTTCCTATGTTTCTATTCTGTTAACTAAAGACAAATGTTTTGTAATGCAGGTAATATTCAGTCAAAGTTCAGATTTAATGGAAAGACAATCATCCATGGCTTCCTCAACGGAAGAAGTTTCTGGCGCAAACAACGATTTGAGCGGAGGCTCTAGAAGAGATGATGAACAATTTGGTGTATTTAAAGATTTTGATTTCCTTGAATATGAAAGCGAAAGTGTTGAAGTAAGTATGTCAATTAAGTCTGCTCACTTATATATAATTTATTTAACTTAACATATATTTTTAATTAAAACATTTTTCATCTTTTACAGGGTGAAAGTACCGATAATTTCAACTGGGGCGTGAGGCGTCGTCCTCTGAGCGAAGGGGAAGAAAGAGAACCAAGTCTGAGACAATTTGAAGAGAGTTTAAGTGAAAAGACTCAATCATCTAGTAAACATACCAGTCGGGTAAGTAAAATAGTGATTTATTTGGAATGGTTAGAATAAAATAGTAGTAATAACAATACAATCATATTAAATACATATTAAAATGATAGCGCGGTGTTGCGGAAGAGTCGTCAGATGATGAGGCTGGTTCAGAATCACCTTTAGACGAAGTACCAGGTGGATCTGGAACCGGACAAGAAGTAAACAATATTCCGGGAATGTTCCCACCGTCGTCTCTTTCTTTAATACCTAGTCGTACACGCCATGATTCTTCGACAAGGTCTGACACATCGTAAGTTTCTCGTTGAATCATATCAAAGGCATGTTTAATTGATTTTTGTTTGTCATTTCGTATGCAGCGGCTCTAGCGCAGGAGATTTAGGAGATGTAACACCCTGCAATGCATCGCCGAATTTGTCAGCGTTAATGCCTTTTAGACAAGTTGTGAGGGACGACGCAGAAGAAAATTGGCGACAACAAATTCAAAATCTCATCCCGCAATCTCTGTACAATCCTTTGGACTTTTTCCAACTACTGAGCAGAATCCTAAGGGTAACCATATTAATCTAATTTACGACTTAGTATTAATAATAATATTTTCTATTATTACTACCAGGATGTAAGCGGTAAATCTGTTACTCTTACACGAGAAGCTAGTGCCTTATTGTGTAACGGCAGTCCTGCCTCGACTCAATTAGGCTATCATTTATCTAGTCACGCTGAACTACTTAGTTCGAAAGCTGAACCACCTTTCATTTGGTTTTCGATGGCTATTTTCGTGAATCAAAGATGGAACGAATCTTTACGATTTGGAATGTTAGAAATTCAAGAACATTTTGAAACATTTCTCGACAAAAAAGATCATGCCACTGAAGTAAGTATTTACTTGTTAAATGTACAAATCAAATTTTGTCATTAACACGTGATTTTCCGTAGTGCTTGGAAGCAGTTAAAGCAGCTGCAAAACTTCTAGCATTAGGTGGAGGTCACACCACAGAGGCAGGCCTTGAAGAGATGCTCTTAGACTTAGGCAGAGCACTTTACAAGCTTCACCTTCAACTGCTGTTATTAATCGAAGCTTCAAACAAGATGCTGAGTACTCTTATGAATGCTGTAAGGAATGTACAAATTCCTCTTCAAGATATATCTGCAGAGATTGCAAATATGAAGATTGCTCTGAGTAGAGCACTTGAAGAAAGTACAGAGAGCGAAAGAGGAACACCAACTCCAACACCTAGTCCTAGTCCTTTGCCCGGCACTGGTGCTGTAGAAGAAGTTGCTCGTGTCGCGGAATTACTTAGAAATGCACGATGGTGTCCCGCTCTTGAAGCTGTAAGACTACATAGAGCTCAGTGGCCAGGAGATCCTTTTCATGATGACGATGACGTAACGACTGCTGTTAATATGTATTGCAAATACTTAGGGCTAGATAGATCTGGTAATTTATTAAACCATATTTTAAATCATATAAAAATAAATAAGCATCGAGATTAACTATCGAATCTTACTTTCTTTCTTTTTTAGATATTTTTGTGGTTACACGAAAGGACGATGAAATGTCAGAGATATTTAGTAGATTAATGGAAAGCTTATTCCAAGTTTTAGCAGCTGTTACAGGCTTGGAAGCGTCGACAAAGGCAGCACGGTCTCAACATGATCATCCTAATAACTCGAAGAGCGACTGTTAACTTGACATAAATTTTAATAATATATCGTATTCTAGACAGTTATTCGTCTAAATTCAAGTCTTCGTATAATTTAATTGTATCGTGCGTTTTATTCGTGTATCTTGTATACAATCATAGGCGTATGTATGTATGTATGTATATCGCGAAGTAATCGTCATAGGAATTAGAGAAACACGCACGAGCGGAAGCACGAAGTCGTCGATTTTGTCGTTTCTTTTTTTAACACGAACGCAATGACGTATGTATGTAAGTTCGATGAAATAAATTTTCGAAAGCTCGAAGAAAATATTGTTTTCTACGACTTCCACATCCTGTAAATATGATTGTACAACAGCGACGCTCAGCATATAATATTCAGCCTAAAAATTTGGCCTATTGTCACCATCCTTATCAATATTATCGTACTGTGACAGATTTCATTAAAAGATTCGTTGATCAGACACTTTTGAAGGCATTCAAGATAATCGAAAACATGGTTTGCAAGAAAACATGATTAATTTTATAATCGTAGAATTTATAAATGCAAAATTTAATAGGGCGAATTAACTTTCGACGAGCGATCTGGCGTGACTACACGAAAATTAGGCTACTTCGGTAACGACTGGCCTACATGTGGAAGTTTTAACACACGAAACGGTCTAGAAAGTGTAATTAACGAAATGGAATCATGGAATGCATTATCAGTAAAAATTCTATGAATCTATCTAATCCTGATAAATCTTCAGACGAGTATTTTTATACAGTGTTTCTCTAGGCTTTGAAGGATTGGATGTTTCATGTAACATTCATTGGTCTTCGATACAAGCACACTGTCGAAGTTTGTACTTATCAAGTTCTTTGGAGTGTACCCACTCCAGCATACCCTGAACCACAAGTCACAGTCAGTGTATATTTCCACATAGCACAAACTCGGGTTTATCCACCTCAATTTCCTGTCGATGTAAGTCATCTTTACTTCAAATAACAATCAACCAATCTTAACATTCTATACGTATATCCCTAGGTTACATACGTTTTCGAAGGGCATCACGTTTCACATTCCTTAAACATGATTTTCAGGCCGAAATGGCTCTACGATATCTTAGATATGAAAACAATGATGTTCAAAACTTTTAATTTTTAATAAATCCAATACGTTTTCCTTAATGTCACTTACAAATATAAAATACGTAAATTTCAATCGAAACTCACAGCTCCTACTGGTTCAAAATTTACCTTTGAATACGCAAAGCACTGAACAAAAGTAAACAGTAACGAGTTCAAGAGGCATATGTGAAATGTCGTAAAAGTGAGGGTGTCGTATTCGTCCGAAATGGGCGCACGCCTGGTGCACTCTGGTTGAGTGCCAGACGTGGGTTTACTTCAATTGGTCAAGCAATAAGGGCAGGTGACAGCCACAAAGGAAAATACAGCTACAATTGCTATTGTTTTTGGTAAGTCTTACACCGTTCGTAACTACCGACAGCCATCAAAACTTCGTCAATATATTTTCAAGTTCAATAACTGATTTTCTCAGCTGGTAAAAGTCATCGATTTTCCCTGTTATAATTTATTTCCTCAAAAAAAAAAAAAAAAAAAAAAAAAAAAAAAAAAGAAAAAAAGGAAAAAGGGAGCAATTTCAAATAGTCTCTCCCGCGGAGCATACGTGCCGCGCACTTGTCGCTTCGAAACAATCTATTTAAATTTCCATCATGCACACCGAGGAGGTGTAAACCGTGCGTTGGTCTTTCGGACGGTTTTACTGTTTTTTACACGCCATTCGGTTTCGGTGATACCCACCACGACAAATAGAAGACAATTTCAAAACCTGAGAGGGATTTCACCGAGACTCTTGTGCACATGGTGGTCGGATGACACTGGGAGGTCTGTGTTTCTCGGCAGGAGCCTGGAATATCGACAACCACGTGTCGAGCATATCTGACTCTATCCACGCGTCGAGTACATACCCCTTTAGCTTCACCAAATTGGGTAGTAATGTTTGTCAACGTGTACATTAACGAGACGTTTACATACTACATCAAATTTACACGTTATATTCAACGGATGATTAATAAACA